TGGGAAGACGAAACGTGTGAGGGGTGTGCCGAAATGGGGCGGCGGGGCGGCGGGGCCATGCGAACTTTCCTTCTGGGGCCTTAGGTGGAGCTCCCCATGGGGCCACGAAACGTGTGAGGGTGTGCCGAAATGGGATGGGCATTCGGAGAGCAGAGGCCCAGAGGGGAGGAGGGAGGAGGAGGAGGAGGAGGAGGAGGGGGAGGAGGAAGGAAGGAGGAGGAACGCGGGGCGCTGTCTCTTCAAAACGAGGACTCAGTCCCACAGGATGGTAGGGACAAATGGACATCTATGTTGTAGCCAATGTTCCCCTGTGAGTTGTCAACTCGACCGATCGCGCAAACATCCCACCCACCCACCCGCAACTTGGCTTGCAAAACCCATGCTGCCGCTAGCGCGCGCAGGCTCGCGCGCAGAGCGGCCAGCTAGTTTGGCGCGGCCGACGCGACCGCGGTGGCGCTGACTGGTGGGAACTTCCCAGCGCGTCTCGCAGGTAGCGCTGGCGCGCGGGCGCGCCAGTGCGAGTCGGTGACCCGAGCGGGCGCGGCGTCATGGTGACGTCGGCGATCGGAGACGCGATGATGATTGTGGCGACGGGCGGCGACGAGGCGGCGACGGCGCAGCGACGTCCGGCGCGGAACCGCCACAGCGACACACAAGTCCAGGCGACGGGCGGCGGCGAGGCATCGACTTGTCGGCGACGGACGGCACGGAACCGCCAGACCGACATTGAGGCCCAGTTCTTCAGACCAGAAGAACAAATCCTGGGTGCAAACACGGCTTGGGGAACAAGAAGAAGCAGAAGTAGAACTATCGAAGAAGCCTTCGTCGAATCACCGCCGCCCCGTGACTTTTTGGAAGCCCTTATGTGGCCGAACGTTGAGGCCAGACCTGCCGAGCTATGGGACCATGTGTTCCCGGAATCGGTTTGGAAAGCCTTCGGGGAACACCCCTGGGCATCTTGAAGGTCATCTTGGCCGCCTGGAGGCCATTTGGACCCTTCCGGCCTTCTTGGAGGACGTCTTGGAGGGCTCTTGGGCCGTCTTGGAGACCATCTTGAGCGTCTTGGAGGCCTTGGGCCGTCTTGGGGGCCTCTTGGGTCTGTCTTGGGCCTCTTGGGCGATCTTCGGGGGCACTTGGGCCGTCTCGGGCCGTAGGGAGCCGAAAAAAAAGCAAATGCCACAATCCTTCAAAAACTAACGGGAAATCAATGTTTTTGGCCTTTTCGGGCCTTCCTGGAGGCCCTTTTGGAGGCCTCTTGGGCCGTCTTGGGCCATCTTAGTGCCATCTTTCTTCCGCCGTCTTGGTGGGCCCCTGGCCCGTCCGACGCCGTCGGAAGCCGTTTGGGGGGCCTCTCTGAGCCGACTTGGGCTCCTCTTGGATGCTCCAGGGCCCTCTTGGAGGCCATCTTGTGCGTCTTAAAGGCCTCCTGTGCCGTCTTGGGGGCCTCTTGGGGTCGTCTTGGGGGCCTCTTGGGCCGTTCTGGGGCCATCTTGGAGGCATCTTGGGTGATCTTTGGGCGATCATTGGGGGCTCGTGGGCCGTATCGGGCCATCAGCAAGTGTCAGAATCCTACAAAAACCTAAGCGAAATCAGTGTTATTTGCCTTTTTGGCCTTCCTGGAGGCCCTCTTGGGGGCCTTGTGGGTCGTCTTCGCCCAGTTTCGAGCCAATTTCGGCCATCTTGGCGGGCTCCTGGCCCGTTTGACGCCGTCGGAAACCGTTTGGGGGGCCTCTCTGGGCCGACTTGGGGCCCTCTTGGGGTGCTCCAGGGCCGCCTTAGAGGCCATTTTGGGCGTCTTGGAGGCCTCTTGGGTCGGCTTTGTGCCCTCTTGGGGCCATCTTGCAGGCCTCTTGGGCGCTGTGCGGGCGATCTTGGGGGCCTCTTGGACAGTTTTAGGTCGTCGGACAGCCGAGAAGCAGCGAATGCCAAAATCCTTCAAACACCTAAGGCAATTGAATGGTTTTGGCCTCTTCGGTCCCTCCTGGAGGACCTCTTGGAGGCCTCTTGGGCCGTCTTGGAGGCCTGTGGGGGGCCTCTTGGGCCGTCTTGGGCTGTCTTGGACTCTCGTGGGCCGTCTGAGAGGCCGTCTTGGATCATCTTGGGCGGACTTGGAGGCCATCTTGGACCATCTTGGAGGCCATCTGGAGCCGTCTTGGAAGATTTGGGGGGAATTGAGCTCCGTGGCAATCCTCCCGGGACCCCGGCGGAACGGGCCGAAGCCCCAGGGGGAGTTCTTCTGGAAAAAGAACCAAAACCAAAATCGAAAGGATTCAGCAGGCCAGGCACCCCTGCGATGAATCGGCAGGGGGCAGCGGATCGAAGACGCCTACGGCGAATCACCGCCGCCCCCTGCCTTGTTGGAAGCGCCTATGTGGCCGAACGTTGAGGCCAGACCTGCCAAGCTATGGGACCATGTGTTCCCGGAATCGGTTTGGAAAGCCTTCGGGGAACACGTGGGCATCTTGAAGGTCATCTTGGCCGTCTGAAGGCCATTTGGACCCTTTCGGACCCTTTTGGAGGACGTCTTGGAGGGCTCTTGGACCGTCTGGAAGGCCACCTTGAGCGTCTTGGAGACCTCTTGGGCCGTCTTGGGGGCCTCTTGGGGCAGTGTCTTGGGCCTCTTGGGCGATCTTCGGGGGCACTTGGGCCGTCTCGGGCCGTCGGAAGGCAGAAAAAAAGCAAATGCCACAATCCTTCAAACACTTCACGGGAAATTGATATTTTTAGTATTTTCGGGCCTTCTGGAGGCCCTCTTGGAGGCCTCTTGGGCCGTCTTGGGCCATCGTAGGGCCATGTTCGGCCCTCTTGGCGGGCTCCTGGCCCGTCTGACGCAGTCGGAAGCCGTTTGGGGGGCCTCTATGGGGCCGTCTTGGGACCCTCTTAGGCCGTTCTGGGGCCTCTTGGGCGATCTGTCGGCGATCTTTGGGGGCTCTGGGGCCGTCTCGGGCCGTCGGAAGGCCGAAAAGAAGGAAATGTCGAAATCTGTCAAAAACCAAAGGACAATCAAAGTGTTTGGCCTCTTCTGGCCTTCCTGGAGGCCCTCTTGGGGGCCTCGTGGGCCGTCTTGGACCAGCTTCGAGCCGACTTCGGCCATCTTGGTGGGTTCCTGGCACGTCTGACGCCGTTGGTAGCCCTCTTGGGGCGCTTCGGGGCCGTCTTGGAGGCCATCTTGGGCGTCTTGGAGGCCATCTTGGGCGTGTTGGAGGCCTCTTGGGCCGTCTTGGTGCCCTATTGGGGCCGTCTTGGAGGCCACTTGGGCCGCCATGGGGCCCTCTTGGGGGCCTCTTGGGCGATCTTGTGGGCCTCTTGGGCCGTCTTGAGCCGTCGGACAGCCGAGGAGAAGCAAATTCCCAAGTCCTTCAAACACCTAAGGAAAATCAATGATTTTGGCCTCTTCGGGCCCTTCTGGAGGACCTCTTGGAGGCCTCTTGGGCCGTCTTGGAGGCCTCTTGTGGGGCCTCTTGGGCCGTCTTGGGCCGTCTTGGACTCTCTTGGGCCGTCTTGGAGGCCGTCTGGGGTCATCTTGGGCGGACGTGGAGGCCATCTTGGGCCATCTTCGCGATGTTTTGAGGATGTCCCGAGCGAAACGGCCGTTTTTGGCGACGACGGAGGCAAGACGGATGCGTTTTGAGATCCTTCCCGGGACCCCGGCGGGACGGGCCGAAGCCCCAGGGGGAGTTCTTTTGGAAAAAGAACCAAAACCAAAACCGAGAGGGTTTAACACGCCAGGCACCCCTTTGATACATCAAAAGGGGGCGGCGGATTGGGCCGTCTTGGGGCCCTCTTGGGGGCGTCTTGGGGGCCTCTTGGGCCGTCATGGGGCCATCTTGGAGGCCTCTTGGGCGATCTTGGAGCGATCTTAGGGGCCTCTTGGGCTGTCGGAAAGCCGTCGGAATGCCGAAAAGGCGCACATGCCACAATCTTTCAAGAACCCAACGGAAGTCAACGATTTTGGCCTCTTCGGGCCTTCCTGGAGGACCTGTTGGAGGCATCTTGGGCCGTCTTGGAGGCCTCTTGAGGGCCTCTTGGGCCGTCTTGGGCCATCTTGAGGCTACCTTAGGCCGTCTTGGATGCTTCTTGGACCGTCTTGGAGGCATCTTGGGGCCATCTTAGCCGTCTCGAAGGGCATCTTGGCCGTCTTGGAGGCATCCTGGAGGCCATCTTGGGCCGTCTTGGGGCCGTCGAGGGCAGGAAAACCGTTTGCAGCCACCTCTGGGCAAGCCTCCCGGGACCCCGGCGGAACGCGTCGGAGCCCCAGGGGGAGTCCTTTTGGAAAAAGAACCCAAACCAAAACCGGGAGGGTTTAACACGCCAGGCACCTCTTTGCTAAAGCAAAAGGGGGCGGCGGATCTAGTGGCATTCGGCCCATCCCCCCACCGTGCCTGGGTTGTTGGTCGGTGTTCTCACGGATGCTTCTTCGGGTCTCTTCGGAGCGGTCTCGGGTCCTCTTAGGAGCAGTCTTTGGGCCTCTTGGGAGCCTCTTGGGGTCCTTTTCGGGGGAGGGGAGGCGGGCGATTTGCTTGTATTCATGTTGCGTCTTCTATGCGAAATTGGTAGGTTGTCCCCACGTTCGTGCTTGCTGCAAACGTGCCGTTTACCCACACAGCGCGAGGCAAGCCTTCTGCAAGCAATGACGTTCACTGCGCGTCCTTTTTTCCCGTTGCGCCGCTTCGGCATGGCAGTTGGCGGCTCCGCAACCCCACGGCTGGCTTCGTCGGCATCGCGGCCGATGTCCCCGTCAGCGTCGGTCACCTGCTGCTCAGTCGTGTCGGTCAGGCTCTTGGCGTTGTCCAGTGCTACATTCATGCGCTTCTCCATCTCGGCGGGTTGGCCCGTCCAGCTTGGTTCGATCGCCAACTTCAAGTCGGCCATCATGGTCTCCATGGCCCCCTGCTCGTCGCGCCTTTCTCGAGAAACTTCTTGCCGACGTAGTCCTGGTGCTTGTCCGAGGCCGCCTTCGCGAGGACCGATGTGATGTCGTCGACATACCCCTCATCCTTTTAGATGTTCTTTTCGAGCCTCTTCTTGGTCGCCTCAGAGATCATCTTCGGCTGCTTCTTCAGCTTCTGCTCAGTGGAGAGGTTCGCCTCGAAGGTCGTCTTGTGCTTGTGCCTGGTGCTCCTCCTCGTCTTGATCTTGGCATTTTGGTGCAGCGTGACGCTGCGGTGCGCGTGATGTTTTGTCTTCTCCTGCATGGTCGAGCGGGCCTGATGCTCTCGGCCGCGTACTTGGTCATGAGGCCGTGCTTGTCCAGCCACTCGTCAGACTTCCTTGGCTCGGACATCGACTCCGACTCATCAACCTTAGACATGTTCGACTCCTGAGGGCGCCCAGGTTGGGACCCAGGGCGCCAACATGATCTTTGAAGAAGTCTGCCGTCTCCTCCTTGTTCATTCTCTTGCTCCGCCCCTTCAGTCCAGGCCTGGACTTCTGAACCTTGTTGATTCAGCCCCACATGCGGTTGCAGTCAAGGCAACAGTAACAGGACGTAGCGGCCTTCTCCTCCACGTGGGTCTTGATTTTGACAACGCCGTTCGAAACCTTGCCGTCAGCATCGAACGGGATTTCCAGATCGCAGGTCATGCACCACGCCATCTTGCTGCCGTCCGAGGCAAGCCTTCCAAACGTTGCGCAACTGGCAAGGCAAGCCCTTGCTGATACTAAACGGCAATGGATGTAGATGGGGTCTTGGCGGAAGCAACTCATGTATGAAGGACTTCGCTATAAGATTACGCAGCACCAGTGATTTCCGCATAACCATTTCTGCAATTGCCGCAAAAGAGCGGATTGCAAATTGATGCAAGTCGTCTACAAGTTCACACCAGCTCACTCAATCGACCTCAACGACTGGCAACTTAGTTGTCTTGCATGGTGGGGCCATCTCGGGCCGACCTGGGGTCCTCGGAGGCCCGGAGGTCTGGGGGCACGCCAGGAGCCCTGGCAGATTTGGGCATTTGGGGCCAGGGCCATTTCGGAGCCCTTCTAGCATCGAGGACTGATGCTCAGGGAACTGGGCGAAGGACCCGAGGACACGCCCATTCCGTGCCCAGCGGCACGGCGGCGGATCCCATGACCAGAGCTCTCCCTCTCTCTTCTTCTCCCTCTTCCTCTCTCTTTTGCGCAGTCTCTCATTGGCAAAACCATTCACACATCCGGATCTCTCAAGTTCAGGTCGGATCCAGCCCCTCTCCCTCCCCTGGCTTCTTCCGTCGCCCCTTCGCCCACGCGCAGTCTCCTGCGCGCTCGCGCGTCTCTCCGTGCACGCGACCCTCCACGCACACGGCACTGACGAGCAGATGGCCCGAACCAAACACACAAAAGAAGAGGAAACAGTGCTTTCTGGAAGCGCAGCAATGTGGGGGTGGCCCTCCCTCTCACGGACCCATACTGTGCCCAGGATCGGTGTGCATGCCTCCCTGGCCAAGGGATGGGGGGCGCATACGCCGCTCATCGGTGAGATGGTCAGCTGGCGTTCTCCGAACCACCTTTGTCAGGGGCGGCCTAACCGACCCCTAGCAAACCATCCCTTTCCGCGACGTCCCCCTCGCCTCGCCCCAAGACGTATGTATGCGGCCGGGATGTTTGAAATGCGACGTGACTTCACGGAAAGGGATGTTTTGCTAGGGGTCGGTTAGGCTGCGTCCGATCGCGCACCCAGGATGTGCACCGATCTCGCCGCCGTGCACCCGCGCCCCCGCACCCGAGGCACCCGCTCGCCGACCCGCGGCAGGGGGGCCCTGCGGCAGCTGCTGGACGGCGTGGAGGCTGAGCACGTCCGGCAGCTGCGGGCGCTGCGCGAGCAGCTGGGCCAGGTGCGCGAGCAGCTGGCCCAGGCGCGCGCGTGCGCGCATGGCCGGCCCCCAAAAGGGTCTCTCGGAGCCCCCCCCCGAGGCCCCTTGGAGGCCCCTCGGCGAGGCCTTCGCGTCGAGGCCATCGCCCTTTGGAGGCCCTGGAGGCTCATCGGCGGTTCGTCGGCGGGGCCCTCTGGAGTCGCTCTGGAGGCGCATCGGAGGCCTTCTGCCTGCCTGCAGCTGGCCCCCAGGGACCGCGCCGAGAGCCAGCAGAACCGAGCGCAGCAGCACGACGAGCGACTCAAGGCGGGCGCCCACCTGCGCCCAGGGCCGAACCTAAACGGTGTTTTGTTTTCGTTTTGTTTTCGTTGTCCCTCGTTTTGTCTTCAATCCGCCTTTGCCGCAAAACGAACTCGAAACGAAAACGGCCCACGAAATCGCCAAAACACCGTTTAGGTCCACCCCTCCTGCACCCTCGCGGATCGGTCGGGTCGAAGAGGTTGCCGTCGCCGAGGCCCAGTAGCACCCAGCACAGCGCAGCACGGCGAGCGGCCCGTGGCCGGCGCCCCCCCCCCCTCGGCTCTCGAGGTGATTCTGGTTTGTTTCGCCCGGATGTCGTTCCATTCGTTTAGATCGGGAGCTTTGGGACGGGGGTCAGTGCAAACGGGGGTCAGCCAGAGCCCTGATCTTGCAGGATCCTGCAGGGCCAGGGTCGCATTGACCCTGGCTTGGGTGCAGGATCCTGTGGGATATTGCAGGATCCTTCGCATTGACCCGGGCTTGGGTGCAGGATCTTGCAGGATTCTGCAAGGCTTGACTTACCCAGGTGAGGAGTGATCCGGGTCAGAAGATCGCCGATTATATTCACGTGTGGTGTCCACCCGCTTAGTTCCATCCGTTTTAATCTTATGTGGCTGAAGCTCGCCCAGGTTTCAATTCATCAAGTTCAGACTCGCCCGCGTCTGAATTCATCTGGTTTAATTGCGCCTGGTTTAAATTCTTGACGCTTCGCGTATCCCCACCAGCCTCCGTAGCCTCTGGCTCAAGTACCAAACCGTCGCCCTGCGGCTTCGTGCTTGTCTGCTGCCGAGGGGCTGGCCCTCGCCGAGGCGTGCGCGCCTGCAGCAGGCTTTCTTTTTTCTCGCACGATCCCCACGGTGAACCCTCGCGCGGCCGTGGGTCTCTGTGTCGCAAGCCCCGCTTTGATGTCGCCGTCGGCGCGCGCGGCTTGCCGGCGGCAGCAGCGGCGGGCGGCGGCCGCACGCCGAGCTGGCACCGCCGGCGCGGCTGCCGTGGCCGCCGCGGCGCCGCCGCCTGGCCTGCCGCTGCACTCACTTGGCTGCCGCCTGCGCCGCCCCCGCCGCGGCGGCCGGCTGCTCGGGCCGGGGCCGCCGCCGCGGCCGCCGGCCCCTGCTGACAGCGCGGCCGCGCGGGCCCGCCGCGGCCGCCGCCGAGGCTGCAGCCCCCTGCTGGCAGCCTGGCTGCGCGGCCCGCCGCGGGCCGCCCTCTGCTGCGGCTAGTGCCGCCGGCGCTGCCGCCCCCCGCGGCCGCCGCGCCGCCGCCGCGCGCCGCCGCCACGGCCGCGGCGGCGGCCGCCGCGGCCGCCTCTGCGGCCGCCGGGCGCCGCCGGCGCCGCTGGCGGCCCCTGCGCCGCCGGCGCCGTCGGCTCCGCGGGCGCCGCCGCCGCCTGTGGCGCCGCGGGCGCCGCCGACGCCGCTGGCGCCGCAGGCGCCGCTGGCGCCGGGCGCGGCGCTGGCGCCGCCGGCGCCGCGGGCGCCGCTGGGGCCTGCTCCGCGGGCTCGGCGGCCGGCGCCGCCGCCGCCGCCGCCCCTGCGGCCGCCAGCGCCGCGGCGGCCGCCGCCGCCGCCGCCGCCGCGGCCGTGGCGGAGGCGGCCGCCGCTGCGGCCGCGGGCCACGCGGCCGGCGCCGCGGCCGCCGTGGCCCGCGCTGCCGCGCTTGGGCCCGCCGCGGCTGGCGCCGCCGCGGCCGCGCCGCTGCAGCGCCAACAGGCCCCCAGCGGGCAGACGCACCAGCAGGGCAGCAGCGGCAGCAACAGCAGCCGAAGCAGCTGCAGCAGCACCAGCCTCAGGGGGCCAGGAATTCAGAATTTCGAGGCGGCTCCAGCCGTGGTGACCAGGGCGACTGACGACTATCTGGAGGATTCTTTCATTGGAAGTGCAGCCTTCAGCTGCCCCCTGGGTCGTTACCGCGCAGCGCAGCCAGCATCTCAGGCAGATCCAGTCCCCAGCATGCCGATCTATCCCACTTCGGATTCGCCGATTAATCCCATGTTTCCTGGCGACAGCACGAGTAAAAATTCGGCCTTCAGCCGAGGAAGTAGCGGGGTCCCAAGCAGATGCCTGGCAGTGCAGAGTAAAAGGGCGACCTTCAGTCGCGACCCTGGTAATCCTGGCAGTCAAGACGGCGCGCTCCCCCCATGCGCGTTTGGCGCTCAGCCCCGGGCGATGGAGACTGCGGCGGCGCGGCGGCGCCGACAAGGGCGCGCTGCGAATCGGCGCCGCCTGGGCGCTGCTGCCGCGGCCGGCGGCCGCCCCCCTGGGCTCGCCAGCGCGGCCAACGCGGTCGGCGCTGCCAACGCGTCGGAGGCGTCCTCTCCTTTGGGCGCGTCCGCCGCCGTTTGCGCCGCCAACGCCGCCGGCGCCGCTGGCGATGGCTGCCCCGCCGCGGCCTCCGCCGCCAGCGCCTTCTGGGGGGCCGACGTGGCTGCGGCGGCCCACGCGCGCGCGCCGGCCAGGGCCGCGGACGCAGCCGACGCCCTCGGGCGAGTTGGCGCCGTCCGTGTCCGGCGGCCCGCGCCACGCGCCGCCTTCGCCGCCGACGCTGCTGACGCCCCATGCGTCCGCGCAGTCGGCGCCAGTGCTGCGCCCGACGCAGCCGCCGCCGCCGCCGCGTGTGCCTGCGCCGCTGCCGCCGCAAAGGCTGCGCAGGCCTCCCTCTGGACGCCCGTCGCGGCCCTGGCGCAGGCAGCTGGGCGCGCGGCGGACGCCGTCGCGAGCGCGCTCCCTGGACGCAGAACCGACCCGCTTGAAGACAATCGTAAATCTGAGGTTGACGATTGCTGCAAATCTGGAGGTGGCGTTTCGCCTGAAGACAGTCGCCAACCAGCGGCCGTTAGCTGCATCAGTCGCCAGGGGGAGTTACAGACAGAGCACGCGGTGGTCAGCCGCAGCGGGTCGGTTCTTCCTTCTGTCAGAGACAGGCAGACAGGCGATCCTACAGCTCCTCATTCCTATCAGCGCCCCAGGCACAGAGTCTTGGTGGGGGCCGAATATGCCCCAGACAGCGCGCCCATTCCTAGTGGCAGTGTCACGGTGACAGGTAGTGGCTCCGCGGAGGGCGCGCCTGCGGTCGGAGACCGGCCTCCTCCCGAGATCAGGTTCACGACGCCTTCCCGAGCGGTGGATGGAGGGTATGTCGAGCCTCCTCGCAGCATACCCTGAGGCTCGTTATCGCTTTTTTTTAAGCAACTTTAGTTTTTCCCTTTTCAACAAAAAAAAAACCCTTTTCAACGAAAAAAACTCTGTTCATTCATATGTGTGTGAAAAAATGTTAATGATGTGCATCGGATGGTGATGAATATATTGTATGGCCCGCAGGAATCTAACACACGATCGATATATATATATATATATATATATGTATATATATGTATAGGTATATGTGTATATGTGTATATATATATATAAGCTAGCCACTAGTATGCTAACGGGATCGGGTAATCCTCTTCCTCGCTGCTGCGTGCTTCCCGCTTCCGCTGCCTGGTCTGCTCGAGCGGCCCAGAGA